CATACGTCTATTTAGCAGCAGGGCAAATGTAACGTTCCTAAATATTATTTCAAACTATCATACACAATTCACAACCACGAGTTTGCATATTTCATTGTATGGATATTGTTTTATGTTGTTTAAAGTTTCAGACACAGGAAGCAACCTAGACCAAATTTTTAAAAACAAAGAAGTCATGTCCCGAAACAGCGCATCTATTACATGTATCATCATGCGTTGTCGAATGCCCAGAATTCTCGTCCTTAATTAAATATGATAAACGGCTGTTAATTGTTCTCCTGTACTAGATCTAACCTTCCAATCACACAAGATAAAGATACTGCTTTTCTCAATCATTGTGGATGGTTATAATTTTATCCATATAGCTACATTTTTGTGAAACATGCAAGACTTTTTCAGCTAAATAGCCCATGGCTGTTTAGCTTTCCGGCTCTTTGTCGCTGCATGCAGGAGACTTGAGTTCGATTCTCGTGTGAGTAGATTATTTATCGAGTTTCTCAGTCTTTCGTCCGGGATGTGATATCTAAATGAGCCCGGGTTGGCCCTGACAAGTAAAGTCTAAGTCCCTCAAAGGAGGCGTAAAACATCTTTTAAAAAAGTAGCACATTATATGTATTTAATGGACGAGGGAGATATTGCACATGTGAATATTACTTTTGTAGAATCACGCATACGATGCATATTATATGTGTTCTTTTCGTAACCCCACATCGTAACTAAATAAAATACAAAACGAAAAGTAAGATGATCCAAATGACATGCCCTTTCTTATCAAAATGGTCAGGGGAAAAAGATTCATTTCAGCTATCTATGGCTATCTCTGCTACTTTCCCGGTAGTTGAACTCTTAAGGTTTCAGTTTCAAATTAATGTATCGTTTTTATTGTCTGTTTTAATAAAAAAAAGGAAGCAATTTTCAGAGGAAAGGAAGATAGTAGGAAGATTGGATTTCTTTCGATTCCTCATACCTTAAGAAAGTAAAATAATTCTTTATACAGTATTTTAAACGTTAAATTTGAATAAACATATTATATCGGGCGACTCATATCGTAAATGAAACAAATATGAATGTGTCCGAGTATGTAGAATTTATTTAGCTTTAGATTTAGATTGGTATGCTGCAAGAGTGGGTGAATACATTTTCAAGTTGCCTTTGGACGAATCGGGCATAAATACATTCATAATAATTATTATTATTATAGCGCCCATTTATTGCCCATCTCTAGTATTTTCAACTTGTGAAACAGGAGATCCAAGAACATACTTAATATGTTCTCATTTAACCAAACATCAATAACAAGCTGAGTTCGGAATTTAATCAAGGTTTCAGTGTATCAAAGTCCAACATGATACCAACGAAGCTAATAGGGTGCTTAGTGGTGACTTGTCAATACTTAATCATGATTATTCTTATAAGAAACGTGACATCGAGATTATGGTGGCAAATGCGTCACTGATTCGGATTATCAAACCAAGTGGTCAGCACTGACCCTGTATCGGTTTGCTTTTAATTGGAGAACGCTGTAAGCACTTTTAACCAGTATAGATACTTTCAAAGCTCAGTTTGCTTATTTACAGAGCAGTTTTGATGAGTGTCCTTAATCTCAGAGGCTCCTTCTTGCTGCTATTTCCGTTGTCTTGAGGGGAGATACAAGGACGTCGTTTTGTCAGAAATGAGCTTTAAGTCAAATGTCAAGGATCTCATTAATTTTCTAGCACAGTTTAATCACATGTATAAAAGCAGATTAGTTTGTGGTCAAAGGATTGACGTAAGAAACAATTCCAATAATTGAAAGCTTCATTTAGAAAAGAGTGTATGCCCCGATGAACACTTAAGCCCCTAAGTAACTTTATCAACACTTATCCGCACTTGAGGTGAAGCGGTTAGGTGCGTCTATGCTGCTCAGTTTTATAGGGATGTGTGCTTCTTTAAAAAGTCAAGTATCTCCGTCAATTTGCCAGGGATTTGATGGATGGTTGACTGGTGCTCTGGTGTGGTTTGCTCCTTCTTTCCAATAAAAACTATCATCCTTCTCTCCCATCCTCCTTTTTTGTGTTTGTTACTCTCTTGTAACACCTCTAATCTTCGCAACTTATATGATCTTATTGTGTTGCAATTTCCGTAACACTCTTACTAAATCTAATCAGCCTGGATAGACCCTGATAGGCAGGGTCGGAGCAGTCGGACGAGGGCGTAAACCATGTACAATCACATTTCCCCCCCCCCCAAAAAAAAAGTTTCCAATCGGCTAAAAACCAAAGAAAGGAGGAAAAGAAGAGATCAAGCTATGTGGCCTTATCGGTGAACTCTGGCTATGGAGGATACATGTATTTAACATGGCCTGGGTGACAAAAACAACACCCAATGACCGGCAACGACCTTTCATTGTATCTATTTGGAAAAAGAAAGGTAAAAAAAGAGACTGTAACAACAACCCCCCAAAACAAACCAAACCAACCAAACAAACAAAACAAAATACCCCCGACCCCTCTCTCTACTCTCTCTCACTGTCTCTCTCGCTGGCTCACTCTCCCTCTCTCTCTCGCTGACTCTCTCTTTCTCGTTCTCTCTCTCTTTCTCTCTCTCTCTCTCTCTCTCTCTCTCTCTCTCTCTCTCTCTCTCTCTCT